AAAAGCAGCACTAGAGTCTAATGAAAGTCTGAAGGAGGATATGAGAGAACTTAAAAAAAAAAAGAAAAAAAAAAAAGGAAAGCTGATTCCAGGTAGAGAGAAGCATCGGAAAAGTACCTAGGACTAGAATGAGAAAGGTCATTCTCAAAAGCCCATCTGAGGCTTGAGTGAAAGCGTAAGGGGGTTGACATAGGGAGTAGCAGGAGAGCAGTGTAAGCACGCAGGGCCAGGGTCTCTGGGGGCTCCCCACTGCTTCTAGGATAAGATTCAGGGGCTTCAATACAACTTAGAAGGCCCTTTTGGACCTGGCTCCAGACCCCTCAATGTTCTTCAATATACACCTGAGAAGGCTGTTAGAGGGATTCAGCTAGTTCATTGGGCTTAGCAGTGTCTGGCATATTTCCATAGTCGGTAACACTAGGCATCATTAGTAACCCCATTCGGTGAGCATTTATTCATCTGCAGCAGTCCAGTGCTGGCATTCCGCGTGCATTCTCCTACGAGTCCTCACCGTAACCTCACAGATGGGGAACCAGAAACCCTGTCTCATGGAGGGCAACTCTCAGCAGTTCTGGTCACTCATGCTTCTTCCTGTTGTGGACCACCATTCTCTCTCAATCATTGCCCTGCCTTGAACACAGTCTCTGGATCTCTCAGATACCGCTGGGGCAAGGGGCACTCTTACTTTCCTCTCCAGGACACTTTGGTGGCCAGGTTTGGGGGCAGTTAAAATCTTGCCCATCACATTTTAAAATTCTCCTTGTATGTCATTGTTTCTTGCATGAAGCTCGGGAGTGGGGAGAGAAGAGAAATTTTTACAAGGTTTAATTGCACAAAGACGCCATTGCCGCAAGCACTCACAATCCGACTTCTGTCATGCATTTTTCATGCAGCCTCTGGAGAGGGAGTGCAGAAACCTTCCCCTCTATGTGAAAGTCGATGAACCTTGCAGAGCCCTGCTCCCAGCTGCCCTCCATAGAAGAATATTAATTTAATTGAGCTCGTAATGGCAGGTTTTACAAGAGAGCTCTGTAGGACCTTGAGGTACCTCCCCCCAAATCTCAGCACCCAGCCTGGAAAAAGGAAGATGTTGCCTGCACCACCTGTGAATTCTAGGTGGGTTATTAGTGATAGAGATTTGAGGGATAAAGGCCCATTGAGGAGAGTGGAAGCTTTACTCTAAAACCCTAAATATGGTGGGGAAAAAAGTCATAAACCGAGCATTCGAGTCCTGGTGAGGCCTTTGCTATTTGTGTATCTAGCCAGTCTCTTAGCCTCCTGAACTTGAGTTATCGCATCTGTAAAACAGGAAAAAGAATACCAACCTTGTTGACATGCTCTGAGGATTAAGTAGAACGATGGATAAGAAACTAATGTAGAGAGTAACTATTTAATGATGTGTGCATGTCCCTCATATGTTTTGTTTTCGTTGGTCTTTTTCTGCTTTCTCACCCAAAAAATGAGGACATGGGACCTGTACAACCTCTTAGTACCATTCCAGATGTTACCATTCTGGAAGATGTAACTATTTACTTCAGTGCTTAATTCTCTGTTTTCCCAAAAATTAAAGACCCAAAGTTTGACTGTGGGGAAGCTCAGGCTGCCCCCATCTCTCTCTCTTTTTTCTGAGGCCCTGCAGCTCAGTTTCCTATCTACTCAAGTTGACCAAAGAGATTTTTCTCAGTGGAGCAGTCATTTCTAAAAAACTTCTCAATGCCCATCTCAAATATAAAGGAGATGATAAGACCATCTCGGACCATTGCACATGAAGGAATTAAAAAGAAAATTGATTCAAGTTTGAAGCACTGTTAACACTAAAAGCAGGAAATCATGGAGCAGGGAAAATTAGCATGTTCCAGGACAACCCTAGGAGGCTTCTTAGAGAAGGAAAACATGGAATCGTGTGGAGAGGTAACTTAGTTATCATCTTCTGGGTACCTATTATGTACCAGAAACTGTTCCAGACATGAGTGGTGTGGTGACAAAAATGCCGAAGTCCCTGATACCATGGAGCTTACGTTCTGACAGAAGAGAGAGACTTTTTAAAAATGTACACAGTAATAGAATTATATCATCTCACAAAGTGATGGAAAAATTAAATAAGGTGATGCACCCTCTGAAAGTAGTGTGTAGAAGGTGGTCCAAAGGCAAACGTCAGAGGTAGGGCTTGAACTCAGATCTCTTTGCTGCCCCATGCTAAGGCCTAAGCACAAGGAAGTGAGGCAGATGGCACCAGCTCCAGGGTCAATGGAGATAAAGATTTGCATAACCTAGAATATATGGAAGGCAGCTTTTAGACTGAAATACAGCTCAACATGTATCGAGTACCTATGGTATGCCAGAGATTGAGCTGGGTACCTTCATCCTTTCTTGGCTAGTCAGTGCATTTAATCTTCCCAACTGTTCTGGGTGCAGGCACCTTTACCCTCAGTCTTGAGTGACGAAACCTTATGCCAATACAAGAGATGCAGTCTTGATTTAAACCTTAAATCAGCATCCTCCCCACTGTCTCTCACCGATGTTATGAGAATAAAATATGGGCTTCTTTTCAGTGTGCATGGACTGCTTCCTGAGCTGATAAATGTGGGAAAATGGCGTGTCACTTCCTTCTGCTTCTGGAAACAGAGGCAGCAAGCCATGCCATGCCGCTCACTGTAACTCAGGCCCCTGAGAAGGAGTCTGCCCAAAGGAGGCCCTTCCTACCCTCTAAACTCTCTGCTAAAGTGAGCAGACTGGGCTGCTCTTTATGCAAGCCTCAGTCAGAGGCATCTCACACACACACACACACACACACACACACTCAAACTCATCAAAGGGAAAGACGAAAGACAAGCTGCATCCAACACCTCTGCTTGTTGGTTAGCTGAAAGTGGAACAGCTGCTAAGAAATGACAGGGTTATTGAAATAAATTCCAACATTTATAATCAATTACCTGGCCCTGTCTGAAAACTGCTGCTTGATTTAAGAACAATTTCAACAGTAGCTGAAGAGGCAGGTTTTCATCTCCCTTTAATTCCTCCCTACCAGAATGTTCTTGCATCTTTCCCCATCTCTTGGTAAAAACTAAAATGATCCACCACAAAGAGTATGTTTTCTTCTTATTCTTTCTCTTTTTAAAATATTTTTTCCAAATCCAATAGATCACGTAGCTACCAGTTGACCTTCAGGAATGCAGTTGAGTGTTGAATTTGCTCCAAAGGCCTTTCCTGACAGAAGGTCTTAAAATAAAGCCCTTAGGTTTTTCTCAGCACAGGCTTCCTGTCATCTCTGCCCACAGGCTTAGCGGGCAGTGTAAGGACACACGTCTGAATGAGAAGCAGCACTTCATCCAACCCTGTGACTCTCCCCTAGCGTTCTCTCTTTTGCACAGTTGAAATGCCCATTCATATTATTTTCAATTTTATTTTATAGTAGTAAGAACACTTAGCATGAACCCCACCCTCTTAACAGATTTTTTGAAGCACAGTATGATACTGTTGACTGTGAGCACAATGTTGTATAGCAGATCTCTAGAACTTGTTTATCTTGCTTGCTGAACTAAAACTTCATGCTTGTTCATTAGCAACTTCCTATTTGTGATTATATGTGTTATATGTGTCAACCTGACTGGACTAGCAGGTGCCCGGTTGCCTGGTAAAGCATTACTTTTTTTTTTTTTTTTGGAGAGGTTTTTACTATAGGGCACATGCGCTCACCAGAAAGACAGAGAGTGACAGAGAGACAGAAAGAGAGAAATCACTCCCTAGAAGGGATGGCCACACCACACTCCCTTCTCCTCCATTCTCCTCTCGGGATCTTGGGCATGCAAGCACTTGCACCTGGTGTGAGCTTAAGCCACCGGGTCCAGGGCTCGAACAGCAGTCGACTACATGGGAGTCCAGCGACATAACCATTACACCAACTGCTGGTCCCAAAGTATTATTTTTGAGTGTGTCTGTGAGAATGTTTTTGGAAGAAATTAGTCTTTAGATCAGTAGTAAAGAAGATATACCCTTATCAATGCTTATCAATGTAGGCTGGCTTCATTCAATCCACTGAGGGTCTGAGTAGAACAAAAGGGAGACTTTGCCTAAAAGAAATTGAAATTAAAAAAAAAGAAAAAAAAAAAAGAAAGAAAGAAAGAAAGAACAAAAAGGAGAGCCAGAGTGAGTTCAATCTTTACTTAAGCCAGGACAGCCACCTTCTCCTGCCCTTAGGTTCTCAGACCTTCAGTTTTGAACCAGAACTACACCATCTCCTGGGTCTCTTGCTTACCAATGGAAAACAACTTTGGGACTTCTATCTAGTGTGTGTGTGTGTGTGTGTGTGTGTGTGTGTGTGTGTATGGTGTCTATAACTAATAGATATACTATATGTATATTTATATCTTATTGGTTCTGTTTTTCTAGAGAACCCTAATTATTAATAGTATACCATTTCCGGGGACCAGCAGGTGTCATAATGGTTAAGGTGCTGGACTTCCATGTGGCTGACCACAGTTTGGTCCCAGGTCCAGCAGCTTGAAACTCACATCAGGCATGTGTGCATTCATTCCCAGATTCCCTAGAGGAAAATAGAGAAGGGATTGCAGCATGGCCATCCCCCCTTGAGGGATGACTTCTTATTTCCTCTCCCTCTGTCTCTCTCTGTCTCTCTGGTGAGTGCACAAGCCCTATAGCAAAAAATCTAAACACACACACACATTTCTTTCTCTCTCCATACCTTAGAAACTACCATCCTACTTTTTGATTTTTCAACTTTGACTACTTTAGATTCTTCATGTGAGTGGGATCACGGAGTATTTCTCCTTCTGTGACTGGTTTATCTCACATAGCATAGTGTCCTTCAGGTTCACCTAGGTTGTGGCAAATGGCACTATTTCCTTCTTTGAAAGACTGAATACTACAACATTGCATGGATATACCACATTTCTTTATTAATTTATCCATCAAAGAACATTAATGAAATGTTCAGACACACTCACAATCTCAGTGAGTTTCTGTCATGATGTGGATCGATGGTCCTAGGATGGGTCTGAGGCCTCACTAGCTAGAATTCTTCCAGGATCATATAAGCATAAACTCTGTGGGAAAAAAAGGAAAAATAAAATAAAAACTTTTATTTTTTTCTTTAAATAATCTAAAGAAAAGCAAAGTCAATGGAACAAGATATGGAATAACCATAATGATCATCGCATAAACATTAATTGCATATGTACTAAGTTCTAGGACATTTCAGGAAGTACATTACATGGATTATTTTATTTTATCCTCCTAGAATGTTGGAAATAAGATCCTACGTCATCTGGTCTGTGCCATCCTCTCCCACTTCACCTCTTCCATTCCTCTCATCCAAGTCAATAAATCCTAGCCACACAGGTCTTGTTCTTTCAGTTCCCTAGGCTCTCCCACCTCATACCCTTGACCCATCTCACCATCATCCATATCTTCACTGGTATCCCCTTTCGAGCTCTTTCATATCCTTTGGCGTCAACATAACTTTTCTAAGAGATCTTCCAGAATCACTTAGAGGAAACATCCCACCCACCCTCCTTGCCCTCCCCATGGTTCATCTTTCCTTGTTTCTGTGCAATACACTACAGTTTTGCTGTGGTGGCTCTGTGTATGTGGTTGGTTGGTTGTTTTGCATAGTGGTGTTCTTGATTGTTGGTTTAGTTTTGCTGTAGTGCACATCCCTGGCTAGAGAGACATAGAGAAGGAAAGTGAAAAAGCACCCCCCAGGGGATGACCAAGCCCCCATCCCTTCTTCTCCATCTTCTCTCAGGATGGTTTTTTTTTTCCAGTTTTGTTGTCTGCCTCCCCAGCTAATGGATGAACAATTCCAGAGAAGGACTGTATTTGACTTTTTCATCAGACTGCCTGGGTTGAAAATTCTACTTCTTTCATATCCTAAATGCATGACTTTGGACCCCAGTTTTCTCATCTATAAAGTCTCATCTATAATAATAGCATCTACATGGGCCTATATGAAGATTAAATGAGTTCTTAGATAAGAGCTTGGTGCAAAATAGTGATTTGTAAGTGTTTGTTGTTTGTTACCTTATTTACAGCTATTTCTTTTTAGCCCCGGCTGCTGGCCTAATATCTGGCATATACCAGTCACTCAGTAAATGTTCAGGGGATGATTCCTATTCTTTTGTCCATAGTATCTATACTGAAAATTGCAATGAAGTCCAGTTTTCTTTTTTTTATTGTTACATTTAATCACTGTACATCTTTACAGCAGAAAGAATGAATTTTTCCCAAGATGAATACACTGCATACTGGTCCAGTTAAAGATATTCTCAACCTCAGATAAGAGATTGACAACCAGAATATATAGGGTATGGAAGCAGCTTTAAAAAATCAATCCAATTAAAAGATGGGCAAATGATCTGAACAGACAACTCTGCGAAGATGACGTATGAACAGCCAAAAACCATATGAAAAAAAATGCTCAACATTCCTATCATAAGGAAGATATGAGTCAAAACTACAATGAGATGCCTCCTAACCCCCGTCAAAAGGACTAAGATTAAAAAACTAAAGAATGATAAGTGCTATGGTAAAAAGGAACTCTCCTACACTGTTGATGGTAACGTAAATTAGTATAGCCACTGTGGAGAACAATATGGAGTTTTCTTAAAAACCTACGAATAGAACTACCATACTATGCAGCAATTCCACTCCTGGGTATCTACCCAAAGGATAGGAAAAAATTCAGTCGGAAAGTCCAACTTTCTTAATTGGCATGAAAGGGGTGGGAGAGAATGGCCAATGCAAACCAATACAAAAACTCAGTAATTGCCTCTGAGGGAGTCGGCTCCAGTGAATAGATAAGAACGACCTGTAATTCCCCTGCCTTTCTTCTTTTGTGTGGGAAGGAATGAATCCCAGGTGCTTCAAAATAATTTGTTCTCTTAAATAGTGTAAACATCACCAGGGCCATCTGTGTGCATTATTGATTTTCCCATTTAGCTCATTCTTTTTAGACCGTGCAAAGGAGCCTTGAGCTGAAAATTCTCCAACTCCCAAAGTGAAGGAATTTAAGTAAACACTGCCTTATTCTACCCTTCCTAGTCCACCTTAACCACTATGTTGGCTGATGACTTCATGGTACATCAGAAGATACTTTCTTAACTGGGCATCAAAATTGACAAGGGGACCAAATCTCAAAGAGCATGGTTCTGGCACCTGATACCTGGATGTAAATCCAATCTCCACCATTAAGAGACTGTATAATCTTGAACAAAATACTGATTCTGCCCTTGAGTTTTCTTGTCTTTAAAATGAGAGTTATCATGGCTTCTACCATGCAGGATGCGTATCAATTAATGCATGGAAAGTATTTGGTATGATGCCTACACATCATAAGAATTTTGTGAGCTGTTATCATTACTAAAACAAACACAAAATCTTAGCAATACATGACCTAATGGGAAAAGACTGAAGAAGGGACCAAACACAACTTGGACTGTGTTTACTAGATATGTCTTTGGGCAAGTTGTTCAATAATTCTGAACCATAGGGTCCTTCATTCTCATGTTGAGAGATGTCATCTACTGGGAATGGTTGTCAAGAGGATGAAATGCAACATGTAAATGTGCGTGTAAAGGCACACCAACGATAGGGTGCTGTTAGCAGTAGGAACACACGGAGTTACAACAAGTTCGCAGGTTGTATTAAGACAGACTTTTCAGTCATTTTACCAAGGAGATCTCAAAGTAAGGGATGGAAACATTGAAGAATCGTGGAAGGTCGATGCTGCTACTTGAATGCATGTACACGCTTGAATGCATGCCCAAACTTCATTCCCATTTCCCTGGCCTACATGTGAGTGTAGAGGAAGCCAGACTTTCTGAGATTGGCGGGGGATGGCAGAAACATAGAGACTGGAACGTATGAGGAACCCATGAGGTAAAGTAAATGGGATTAGTGGGAGGGATTTCCAGGGAAGACTGGAAGGAGCATTTATAGGAACTTGGATGTCGAGCAGTGAATGTAGATGGGAGCCAACAGCAACAGGAGACTGCGAGGGTGGTGAGCGGCATATTACAGCTAGATCCCGCCGTGGACTTCACAGCCTGGCCCTTAGCTACATCTCATCCGCCATCATGCATCTCTCCCTCACTCCAAGTACACCGAGCTGCAGAGAAGAGGTGCAGAAACCCTAATTAAATCAAGGTAGTTACCAAAGAAAGGAATGGCTGCCAGGGAGGTAACCACGGTGACGATAAAAAGTTTAAGAATTGTTGCCCTCATTTTTCAAGTGAGAAAACTGAAATGCAGACATTCTAAGATCCCCACAGGCACAGCTGTAGCAAAAACTTAAAACCAGATGGGTCTGCGTCTAGTCTAGAAGTGTAGTCATGTTGCCTTTCCTTCAAAGCATCGGCTTATTCCCACCACAGGACCTTTGCATGTGCTACCTCTGCAACTTTGATCAGTTCTCATCCCCATATCTTTTTCTTTACTTAAAAAAAAAATTTTTAGAGAGATTTTTGATATAGAGTGTGTGCTCACCGGAGAGAAGGAGAGACAGAAAGTGAGAAATCACCCCCTGGAAGCATGGCCACACAGGGATCTTGGTCACCAGGTCCAGTACTTAAACCGCAGTCGACTACATGGGAGTGCAGCAACATAACCATTACACCATCTGCTGGTTCCCCTTTCCTACCTTTTTCTTACTTAATGTTTTGAGCTCTAGCACCACCTCCTTAAGGATCAGAGTCCCCACCCAAGTCAGATGCCCTCTATACACACTCTTAAGGCCACAATCCTCTTACAATTCTCACAGTTGTTTTTTTGCATTTATCTGTGTGATTATCTGATTGATGTCTATCTCCCCCACCAGGCAGGAAAGCTCTCAAAGGCTAACACCCCGCAGGTTCTCAGCACAGTGCCAGGCCTGTTAAATGCCTTCAGTAAGTGTATAGGGGCCTAGTCACAGTGGGGCAGTTCCAGACTTCGAAACTGGAAACCACATACTAGCCATGGCTCAGGTCCTTCTCCCAGTCAGCCTGCCACACACAAGTTATGTGCACATGTGCTCAAGATCCCAGAAGACCGGGAGATTGCAGGAAGGAAATCACAACATGGCGAGTCTGGTGGAGGGTCTCTCTCTCTCTCAAATGTACACATGCTCTGCCATGAATTACATAAATAAGTGTAGAATGAGCAATCAAATAAATAGATGAGTGAATGAATGACTATAGCACCTGTGCATATGATTGGAATTTTTTTCAAAAAGTCACAAACCAGGTCATGGGACTCCCTGTAGGTAATTCCCCCCTTTGCCAATACTCAGCCTCCACATACGCATGGGGTATCCAGGTTTCTGGATCTCTGAGGGTTCGTGTCCATCCACACTAGGGGCAGAAAGGAAACAGGTCTGACAGCTTCCTCCTCTGGGAGGAGAGGGCCAGTGGAATGGAGGGCAGGGGAGAGGGGAGTCACGAACAATTTCTGCTTTAATTAGAGCTCTGTCGGCTTCAGTTAGCCCGGGTGTTTGTTCCCTTGTGTGTGTCAGAGAATTTGGAACTGACCCCAAGCTTGTGAAATAATTAGTACAATAGTGCCGATCTAGCCATTTCTGAAGAGAGTAATTTACTCCCAGCGTAGCCTCCCGGCAGAGCCGCTCATTAATCAAACCAGGGCATACATCAAAGCGGGTCCCCCTTTCCACCGCAGCATCCATCATCCGCCATTAGGTCCTGCAGGAGCCCAAGCCAGTGCTCCGCCTTTCCTGTGCTGACTCCATGTCCTGTTGTCACCAGTTGCCTGGGGGCTGGAAGGGAAGCAGCTTGGGGACTGGGGACAATGAGCTCAGCGGCCAACATTAGGGAGGGGGGGCAGGGCCTTGTGCCACCTTGGGTTGACAGAAACCTCAACTGTTTGGACCATAGACCTAAGATGATCACCTCCTCAGTGGGATGGCCACCTTGACCACCAGGAACTAAGAGCCCGCCCAGCTTACTGTCTGCTCTTTATCACTTCCCCTCCTACCACCTACACCTACTAGACATTTTGTTCATTTGCTTATTTACTCCTCGTTTTCTGTCTCTGTTCTCAGAAGGCAGGAAAA